TATCAGAGAACTTCAGAGGAATTTTCAAGAAAAATACAGCCCACTTGTTCTCAGAGTGTCATCCCAGTCCTGGGAAATTGTTTCAGAAGCAAATTCCTGGGCCAACTCCACACCCAATAAATCAGAAACTCTGGGGGGAGCCCAGTGATCTGTGTTTAACATACCCCTCAGGTAATTCTGATGCTAGCTCAGAGTTGAGAACCACCACATTAGCACGTAGACCAGGTCTAGAAAAGTATGACTTCAAAAGAGAGAACAAGAGAGAGGTCAATTCATTTAAAGGAAAAAAGAAAAACCCCAAGAGCTGGGTTCTCAGACCACTCCTAATTCATTACTTACCAGATAAATCTACAAGAAGTTTTATCTTGTATGACACAACTTAGTGAAGTTTAAATGCCAACACAAACACACTAAGCCAGAGTGAGGCAGGGTGACAGAGTGCCACAGGTGCAGGCACCAGAGCCTAAGGCCTGCATTTGAATCCTAATTTCCCTACTTATTAGTTGTGTAGTTCAGACAAATCTCTAAGTCCCCACCCCCCTTTGTTAAATGGAAAGGTAACCGGATCATTTCCTTAAATGTTATTGTGAGGACTGAAGAGACATATAATTATACACCTGAAGCATCAACATGACATCCAGAATGATTCTTTCAATGATATACATCTTTCTTATCATTAATTAGGGAGGAACTTGAGATCATTAACAACCAAATTGAACAAGGAGTTGAGTCATGAGCCATCTCCCTCTATCACAGCACTGAAAATATCTACAAATATTATATAGGCAACGGATCTGGAAAACAGAATTCTTTCCAGAAGAAAATAATAAAACAGTCTCTTTTCATGACTGTCAGTGTTTTAGAGCCATAAGAGTCATCAGATATTTTAGTCAAATCCCTCCTTTTACAATGTTATACTCAGCCACAGTCTTCAGGCTTCTATGAGGCCCCATGAAAGACAGACAGGAACAAAGGGCAGCTATAGCTCTCACTCTGGTCCCCAGTACAGCAAGCCCCCAAAATCAGCAAGGGGTTCCAGATGAACACAAGAAAATGACTAGAGAGCAGAGAAGCAAGTCTCTAGGTTTAGCCTGCAAGAGGTTATCCAAGGAACTGTTCAAATGGATTTTGCTGGTCCCAAGGTTGTTCCTGGGAGTGTATGAGCACAGGGCCTCTCCTGTTCCCGCCTGCCTAGCGGCTGTCACCTGCTCTAAGTAACAGCAGCCTAGTGTGGCTCAGGGCATCCACCTCCCTCCAAAGATTTGGCCTAAATATGCTTGCAACACTGAAAGAAGGCTCCTCCTCTTACCTGGGTACTAAAAGGAAACTACAACTAGTGAGAAAGAAAATTAAAAGATAAAGCCTTTTGATTATCTCAGTTTCTTAAAAGTGTTTAAATATTATTTTGAGATAGAATACTAGTGATGTGAATAAATCTGGTAAATCACTAAGTCAGGGTCAGCTGGGACTATTTAAGTTCAATTGGCTAAAAACTCCAGGATTAGAGTTTGCCACTCAGTAGTTCCAATAAGCCCAAGTTTCAATAGTATAAAAAGCACACAGAATCCAAGAGCTCCATAGTAGCAAAGGTTAGAAAACCTATTGTCCCAAGACACTGGCCCACCATATTCAAGGCAACCCAGAAACATACCAGCAGGCTAAGATGCAAAACCCTGTGAAGAGGATGATGGGGATGGGGTAGGATGCACAGAGCAACCCATGGTTGTAGAAAGCCCGAGATATCTTCTCACGCAGCCTTTCAGTCAGGGTCATCCTCAGCTGAAGTCACCTTGCTGCCATCCCGGAAAGTGACCATGGATCAGCCTGGCATACGCTGGGCAGTACTGACAACAGATATACCATCGGTAGCTAGAAGGGAGAAAAGTCAGTTAGTGAAAAAGCACTGGGTTCTGCACACTAGAGTTGCTGAGGGAAGGTAATAGTTATGTGGGTAGGAAAGAGTTTTAGAATGCCTACATGCAAGGTCTAGAGACATCAATACAACACACACATATAAAATCTTCGTCATCTCACAAGGGACTATAGGCGCTCTCTTATTAGTCTAACCAAAGTAGCCAAAGAACTGCCCTTCAGCTTGGATAATAAACTGTTAATTCTCTTCAATATTAGGAAAGGCCGGCTCGGCACCTGTGGCTCAAGTGGCTAAGGCGCCAGCCACATATACCTAAGGTGGCGGGTTTGAATCCAGCCTGGGCCTGCCAAACAACGATGATGGCTGCAACCAAAAAATAGCCAGGCATTGTGGCAGGTGCCTGTAGTCCCAGCTACTTGGGAGGCGGAGGCAGGAGACTCGCTTGAGCCCAGGAGTTGGAGGTTGCTGTGAGCTGTGATGCCATGGCACTCTACCCAGGGGGACAGCTTGAGGCTCTGTCTCAAAAAAAAAAAAAAAAAATTAGGAAAGGCTACCCACCAGAGGGAATTTTTCTCACATGTGGCACAGGAAAGGACACTTGTGCAACAAACATCACCTTTGGCTGCTCTCTACCAAATAGGCATTCCTCCCACCTACTTCTGTGCACAGGCCAGAGTTAGAGAAATCCTTGGGAAAAACCTTTATACAGTAATGGCTCCCCCCAAACCACATTCTTGTACAAATAGTGATTCACTGATAATGTTCAGTGCAGTCAGCCCTAAACATAAAAACACCAAAAAGCGTAGGCCCTTGACATAAAAATCATCAAACAACATTTAGTATGGCAGCAGTATTAGGTAGAAGTCTCTCCCCCTGGTCCCAAAGTTGTTCCTGGGAGTACATGAGCACAGGGTCTCTTCTGTTCCTGCCTGCCTAGCAGCTGTCACCTGCTTTGAGTAACAGCAGCCTGGTGTGGCTCAGGGCACCCACCTCCCTCCAAAGATTTGGCCTAAACATGCTATCAGTCCACATGCCCCTTTTGGACCTAAGTCACACCAATTGGGTCTTTCTCCCTGGGCTTTAACTTCTGAGCAGAAAGAAGCAGGAACTAGATATCTGTGGTACTTATTCATCTCCACAGAGGTTCCTGCTCCTAAAATCCCCAGGCTGTTCTGGCTCCAGTCCTTTCTGAAGACTGGCTCATCAACTTTTTTTTCCAGGGTATAAGCTATTCCAAATCCTTCCCATGAATCCTCTTTTTGCTTATGCCAGCCAAAGTTAATTTTCGTTGCTTGTAAACAAAGAACTTTAAGCCAATAAAGTCAGAGTAGAAAATTCTAGTAAAAGATCCAAAGATCTAGAATTCTCCTCCTTACTGAGCCCTCCAATGGAATCCAACTTCAAATCTATTTCTCTTGTTCCATTTGCTGTTTTCTTTGGTCTGTGCCAGAGGAACCTGTCCGGATAACGTGTCTTGGCTTGATTATGTTCACTGATGAAAACCTAGCCAAAAAGATGACTCCTCAGAGAAGTATCAAGATCAGAAAGGAGAAACAAAAGGAATCACACCATAGCCAATTCACAAGACAGAAAGAATGGCCATCACTTCTTCTACCTTTCTGAAAGCACAAGCCTTTTTTCCAGTACAGAAACTTTCTGAATGAAATACAAAGAACCGG